GTATGTATATATATAGTGTTAGGATCTACTTACACCATATAAAATACTAAAACTTACACCATATAAAATTCTTTTAATTTTACAATGATTTAGGATCATTAGATGAATGAAAATAAATAAATAAGATTGACTTTTTGTTTTTTTCCTGTGAATATTTTCTCATTTCCTACTGTAAATCTCAGTCATCCATTTTCATTCATCTAATAATCCTAAATTTTTTTAAAAAAAAGTTTTACATTATGTAACATGATCTTATCTTTTATTATATATATATATATATATATATATATATATGACATTAATGTTCTACCCGATGTATAGCAAATGCTATTTATTTATAAAGTTTACATATAATATAGTTTTGCTAGCTTGTTTCTTTTTCGACCGACATATATTGGCCGACATGTACCTAATATATTAAGATCTCTGTACCGTATATATTAATTATTCTTTTTTCGAATTAAGTGATCTAGATGATAAAAAAATTATTGTTATTTTTTAAGGTTTCAGATTCGAATTTCATGAATAACAAGAGAATAAGTAGTCAATGTAAAATGGTTGAGTTCTTTGAATAAATACTATTTTATACTTATCATAAATTAATAAAAAATTATTTTCTTTGGGGAAAAATGTCAATTTCTTCAATATTAGTGGGAAAAGGGTAAATTGAGCTGGAGAACTATTTAAAGTTTGAAAAATTTAACCAGCAGAAATAATTTAGAAGAAGATGTCCACAAATTATGATCTATATCTTAAATTGGTTCCTAAGTTTTAAAATATTTATATTAGTTTTAATACTATTACTATAATTTTATTTTAATCTTTTTGTTAATGTGTCGTTGACTCTAATAGTTAAACAAAAGAATATGTTTTGAAGGTCACTCGAATTGAACTTATGACCATCTAAATATTTATCAAGACCTTCAAAAACATATTAATTTTTAGGTCACATATTCAATTCTCGTGACCTTAAAAAATAATATACTTTTTAAAAATCACGAGTTAAATTCTCAAGACCTCCAAAACTTAATAGAGTGATAGAGTGATCCTCACGTTAACACAATTAAAGTAAATGTATCTATTAAGCACTAAAGCAATTTAAATATATTAATATAATGTTAAACTATACTACATTGATTAGATCAATGATTGGATCAAGAATCAATTTTTTTTATCAAATTAACATAATCAATTTTAAATAAAAAAAATTGAAAGGAACTTACAAATAATTTATATAAAGCAAGACTAGAATATAAGTAAAAAAAAAAAGTAAATGCAAATATTTAATATATACGCTATTCATTTCATGTAACATTATTATAATTAAGTCAATAAAAGAAATGACGGTGCAATTGAAAAATTGTTGGGACAAGCATTATTTATGTCCCTTATACCAATACTATGTTCACATAAAAAGCTACACATTTAGCAGAACACTAACAATTATGTCCCTTATCCGAATAGATAACAATGTACCATACACTTAATTGGGGCACGGTAATTTTAGATATTATATGATAAATATAACACAAACACGATATAAAATATATTATAACAAAAAATCTAAATGTTAAAATAAGTGTTGAAATTATATCTAAAGTTAATTTTAGGTGTCTAGAGAATTTTCTGTTAAAAATATGTGTCTAACGTTTATGACGTTATACTTTTAGGTGTCTGACGTTAAATTTGATTGTTAAATGACACATGTTAGGCTTATAAAAATTTAAAAAATTTATTTTATAAAAATTTAAAATTTTATATGCCTGACATATGTCGCTTAACGGTCGTATTTAAAGGTAGTAACGGTCCAAATACTTAAAAGTATAACGTTATAAATGTTATACATCTATTTTTAACTAAAAATCTTTATACATATAACGTTAACTTTAAGTATAGTCTGAACACTTATTTTTACATTAATCATAATAAAAATTAGAGTAAATTACATGTTTAGTATCTAAACTATCAGTTTTGATTTGTTTTAATACCTAAACTTTCAATTTTTTTTCAAAAACATACCTAAGGTTTAATTTTTGTTTCATTTTAATACCCTATCGTTAAAAATTTAACGAGCGGACTTGTCAGCCGTTGCGTCTTCATTTGTTGACCGTCGCGTCCGTTTCCCGATGAAGCCTAAACTTTCAAGCCCGCACCTTTTCGACCTCCTGAACGTGACTTCGGCCTCCATTTCACTGGAAAAATGTTTCAATCTCCCCTAAATAAATTATTGACTCTTCAACTTCTTCTCTCATTCATCTTCATCGTCAACCGTTCGATGGGCCTGAAACTGGACTATGTTGGTCAACTCGTCATTCTCTCGTGGTCCACCATTCGGATTGGTCGTCATCCACCAAAACTATGCCCCGTCATCCCGTCCGTTAAGTTTTTAACTGCAAGTACTAAAATGAAACAAAAACTAAACGTTAGGTATATTTTTAAAAAATTGAAACTTTAGGTACTAAAATAGACTAAAACTATTACTTTAGGTATTAACTCTGTAACTTATCCTAAAAATCATAATATAATATATTAAATTTTTATATAAATATATAAAATACAATAAGTGACCCATTTTGGAAGACTCCCGTACCTAACTCAACTGCCCATTTAATGGTTTTAGATTGACATGCCCCTTCCTCTTGGGAGTAGTGTGTAATTTTATTTTTAATTGTTAATCTAATCATTATAAAATATTTTTAATTGTTATGTTTATAGTTTTTATTGCCTTTAACTTTTAAAATTAGTTAATTAGCATTAATTAAATAATATAGTTCTTCTATTATTTATTTTTAAAATTTTTAAAATGTTAAAATTGAGGAATATTAAAAACACAGAGGACTAATAAAGTTGTTTTACATTTTCTTATAGTTGTTAGATTAATAATTAGTAACAGTAAAATTGATCAAAAAATTAACAAAGATATCAACATTTTTAAATAAAAAATAATATAAGAATTTAATACCATAAAATTAAAGTATAAGAATTATATTTTAAAATAATATTAGGGGGTTTTCATAATTTTTTTTATAATCATCTGTATCCGATCTGTTGACGATTAATTCAGATTAAATACTGCAGAGATAATTATGGGTCCCAACCCTGTTTGATTTATAATTACCAAGGTGAATAGATATTTGGTTTCTTATGTAGTTCAGGTGATTATCTATTCTAATAATTGAAGTTTGAGCAATTCATGTTATCTTAATATATATGTGGAGATTAAATTTTTAAAGAATTATTATTGAACCGTATAATATGGAAAGTGTCCACATCATCAATGATAGTTCAAACTGTGTATAAGATGTCGTAATACCTACAATCAAATATTATGTAACAAATACGAACTAATTTACTTTAGTGTTGTCGTATATCGTCCCTAAACCTCGTACAAAATCACTTTTCACCCAATCATCATATATTCATTATCGTTGACGAGGCTACAACGCCGCCCAAACTAAAAGCAATTACCCAAGTCTTCTGTTGCTCGCCGCCTGATCTTCAATATGTAAGGGATTAGGGATTTAAGTTTTGAGAAATAAGAAAATTAATTTTTTTTTAAAAAAAGGTTTAAATTTTAATGTTTTTATTTAAAAGGATAACAACAAAAGAAATTAAAATAACGTGTCAAGCAACAATTGATTGATGTTTTTTAAACATACGTTAATATGATGACTTAAAATAATAATAAATTAAATTTTCAAACTTTTTTTTTTGAAAAGGAGATCTTATATGTTATTAATAGCACAAAAGAAGACATACAAGGGTAGGGACAATGGTCAAGCCTCGTTAAAATTTTTCCATAATCTTAAATAGAAGAGAAAGAGTGTTCTTGACCAAAACCAAAGGAAACAAGAACGATCAAACAACGATTAAAGAATACACTACACAATAGGACCAAAGAATAAAGCTGCTCGATTGGATTATAGAATTGAATCAGACCATCATCCCTTGTATTAATCCCTTTTCCCGCCAGGAAATCTGCACTCGAATTATCTTCTCTCGCGACACAAAGGATGAATCCACCACACCATCCAAGACATTTTTGCACGATTCGACTAACACCCTAAATCCCAATGGCACAGACACACGGCTAATAATTCTGCAGAAAAGGGGTATTTTAAACTACGGGATTTAAAATATTAAGGGTAAACTACATTACATAATTGATCACTTTCCTTGTAATTTGGTACATATTTTCTTATTAAATTAAAAAAAAAATATTGGGTCACTTTCATTTTTTATTTAAGACTTGATCACTTTTATTTAATTTTCCCATTAACAATAGTCAAAATTTCAATGACTAAACATTTAAAAATCGATAAGGTAAGTGACCACATCTTAATTAAATAGAAACGAATATGACCACGTTTTAATGAAATAAAAGCGATAATGATCAAATATTATATTTTTTAAAACTCAATGAATAAAGTGTATAAAAATTAAATAAAAATGACCAATTTTATATTTTACCCAAACATTAAACGTCCACAACGAAAATTATACATCTAAAATAAAGATCCACTATAATGTGAACACTTAACCTTTTTTTTTTTACAATTTGTTTTTAAAGAGAGGGAAATTCTTTTAAGCACCTATTTTTAAATTAAACATAAAATATAATATACAATTTTATACCTAATAAAACAACATCAAGAACATATTAAACTTTATAAAATAAACATGTTCCATCATCTGATTTCAAATGTCTGACAGTATTAATTTGAAATTACTTCCAGTATTCACTTTCTTAAAAATTCAAAAACCAGACATGAATCTTTTTTCCAGGAAAAAGATAATTAGATTTGGCCACAAAATAAAGGGTAGGAATTGACAGTTGGGATCACATCACAACCACGTTTTAGAAACACATAATTTCTCAGCTCTGGATAAGTCACTTTCATCCGAGCATTAAACCCTAAACTAAAACTAAGTTAACAATAATACAGCATTAATTGTCTTAAAAGCATGATAATAAACCTAAGCTGACATTAATCTCATCTGTCTCTTTCAATGTCAGCACCTAATCACAACATAATTAGATACAATGACGAGAAGGTTCCAAGCACCATAAATGGGAGAAATTCCTCTCAAGTTTAGTGAGTCCACATGCAATCAAGCTCAGTTGGACCGATTGACATCTTGTTACCACCACCACCACCGTAGTTAACTTCCCAGTCGACGTATGAGCCACCATGAAGTGGCAGTGCCTCCACTGTCGGCTGGGGGAAGAACGGAAAAACGGAAGCGCCTGCATGTGCTGAATACCTTGGTATGTGATTAAAAGTGGTGGTGTTGATCATCTGAGGTGGAGGTGGTGGTAACGCCAGTTCGAAACCGGTTGCGGTGGTAGCAACGGTGGAGAAACAGGACACGTGCTCGGATTGAGCATAACTGTCATAAGAGAAGCCATCACGGTCGGTGGTGGCAATGGCTGTACTGGCAGGATCCAGGAGAGGTGGAATGGAAACCGAGGAAGGAGAGCTCGATTCTTGGTAATGCACAACGGAGGCGCTCATCCGTGTCTTCTTGGATCCACCGCCGGTGCTGGTGGTGGCACTGTTGACGGTGCCACTCTTCTGAAACACCCTGGATATCACCCATTCATCCTGGAACAATACAAAAACCATTGGAATAAGTGCAAAAGACATGAAATTAATAAGATTTTCCCAACATACCTTTCCATCTCCATTAATGAAACAACACCGTACGGAACACAATAATACTTTCGTGTATGTTTTATTAAGCAAAACCATAATCACCATGAACTTACTAAAAAACCAGACGCCATTGTAGCTAGGGCTGTAAATGACACAGTCAAGCCCAATTATTACTAAATTACGTTAGATTCGAAAAGTTTAAAGTTGAATTAGATCAAATAAAAGACTCAACAGGTTATAATGATTAAGCTTTACTCAAACTCAAAAATTAAACTAGCTCACTTCAGAATGTTAAGAACTCTACTCGTGTTCAAACTCGAATGGAATTCATTCCAATAGTTTGATGATAGGGCTTCAACCAAATCAAACTAGAATAACATCTGACGTGCCTTATCAAATTTAAAACCCTAATAGTAGGACACAGATGAGAAGAGAGAATAAGATAATGAGACCTTTGAGCTCCTGGAGAGATAATGGTAAGCAAATTTGCCTTCGAGCCGATATTCATGCATGATCCAGTTGCTCTTTTCACCTTTGGGAGCTCTACCTCGATAAAACACCAAGGTCTTCTTCATCCCTAAAAGTGCACAAGTTTTCGAACTGTAAATCTCCCGATCTTTTCCGGTAGCTTTCCAATAACCAGCTTTGGTAGCTCGGTTGGTTCTCAACCCAGTCGGATACTTCCGATCTCTCAAGCTGAAGAAATACCACTCTTTCTCTCCCATCTTCGCCTTCCCTGCAACATGAACAAAAAACACAAAAGGTTACACAAAAGTTACAGATTAAACAACTAACATGTTGAATGATCACGTACCAGGAAGTTCCCATGGCTCGGACTTGTTGAGATCGACTTCGGCTATAGCTCTACCAGTGAAGCTACCATCAAGAACTTTCTTCAACAGATAGTAAGTAATGAGCTCCTCATCGGTTGGGTGGAAACGGAAGCCAGGAGGTAACTGAGTTTCCCCATGGTCAAAACGCTGATAACCATCCATATCAGCAACCCTAAGCTTGAACCAGACAACTAAGAAACCCTAAACTTCAAAAACCAAACTTGAAATCCCCCATGACACGAAGAAGAAAGAGAGAAGAGGGTTTTTAACTAAGAAAAAATCTGGGTTTCTTGTATGTACATCCAAGAAACGAAAACAAGATACAAATACAAGGATGATTATAAAATATAAAGGGAAAAGAAGATTGGCAGGGAATGGGTTAACAGAGGGGTGAGTTTCTGGTTTGGAGTATGCGTGCGTGTGTGAGAAAATGTGCAGGTATTCGCTGTAGGTGAAGAGAATGAAAAGGAGGGAACAGAAAATAGTTTTCTTGAGAGAGAAGGCAAGTCCTTTGCCTATTTCTTTTTTATAAGAGAATAAGAGATAAAGGAAAGGGGAGAGAATAAGAAATAAAGGAAAGGGGAGAGAAATGGACGGGGAGAGATGGAAATTGTAAAAGAAAATATTGCATCAATAAAGCTGTTTTCATATCTCTTCCTGTCAGGACAGTGCAATAATCAATTATCAATTTCCACCCACACCTATTGTAATCACACGCTACCTTTTGTTACATATGAAAATTTGTATTTTTTTTTATAAATTTGTTATATATAATTTGTATATGTATGGCTAAAAAATTTAAATAACATGACGAAAAAAATTTCTATATAAGGTCTTAGAATAATTATTATCTGATCTAGTATGATTATAACAGTATTTGTATTTGTTAGAAGACGTATGGATGGCAACATATCTTTTAAAATACACTTGAATGTGTTTCTCTTTAACAAGATTCTAGTGTTCAAAGTTTTAAGTGTGCATATTGTTAGGGGAAAGAAGCCGTGTAATTCGATGTCTTTCAGAAAACAACACTTCGTTTAAATGTTTTTTAGAAGACGACCTGTCGTTCGAACATTCTTCAACGAGTATTGTAACAATGTTTGGACAATTTTACCGTATATATAAGCATGAACCAAATAGCTTATGTTGTAAAAAAAATTGTTGTTTTTCTTTGAACATGCTGTCTTGTATTTGAGTTTGAGATTATTATTTGTGTTTAAGTTAAAATTTTCATTATCAATTTATCTATTTGTGTATTATAATTATTGATTTTAGTAGTTATTTACATTGATTTTTCTATTAAATATTTTATTTAATATTATTTCTTTTTACGAATTATTTGTGTCTCTCACCTATTTAAATTAGATAAGATCACGAGAACAATAAATTATATCACTAGTATAATTGTTTTTTTTTTATAAATTTCACTTTAATTGTTGGAAAAATTATTGAATAAATTGATGTTATATATAGCTAATTAATAATAAGTCATGTCACTTGATGAATGAACTTAATATTTGATTTAAAGTTATATCCATTCAATCATACTTATTCAACAATTCTCTTCATAAAAATATTAAAACATTTCGTGAAAAGGTTAAACATTTTTCATCAAAAATGATAAGTCCTTTAATTGAAAGATTAAGTCATTTTATCGAAAGATCTTAACCCTTCAATCCATTTCCTCCTCTATATATATAGGCTAGTGAAGGCACAATTCAAAGAAAAATAACACAACACAAGTTACAAAGACAACTTTGAGACATAATTCACAAAGTTGAATTATGATAACACTTAGAAAGTTCCTTCCAAATTCGTTCTTTCCGATAATAAAGAAATGTAAGATTGTGTTCGACTGATCACTACGGTTGTGCTTACTGTTGTGATCGTTTATTGTTGTATCCTAGGAGTCCGACATCCAACGTTACTCAAAGTACCTAAGAGATGACGAATATGTCTTAAGGAAACTGTTCATACATACATCAACAAAAATCATTCTTCGGTTTATCTTACTCTACTCATCTGATTCCGTTTCTAAATATGAGTAAACCAATTTTTTACCTTTACTTTAAGTTTTATTTATTTTGTTGATTAACATTTTATCTCGGATTAACATTTTTTTCTAACAATTTTAAGATAAATTCTATATTTTATTTTACAATTCTAATCCGAGAAGAATTTTATACGTAATTGGTTTGGCAATTTGCGTCATTGAAATTATCAAGTGGAGCAAGTTGGATTGAAAGAACATTCACGTGTGAAAGACCCTCAGAAAAGCACTGGATAGTTTTTTTCGTGCTCCAATCCTTGAGGAAATTGAAGGTTTGGACGCAAAAGGTAAGGTACCATTAATTAACTTAGTGTAATGATTCTCGAATCTTTTGCAGATTCAAAGAGAACCTCTCATGATAAGATGCGACGCCGGTGATTCGAATAATTTAGAACAATAAATTCAATGCGTATTGGACACACAATTTTATCTTTGTAAGTTTAGGACGTGTTGAGCGTAAAAGCCAATTTACATATCTATAATTTACATGATTAAGACGTGTTTTCATGCCCACTAACCTTTGTGAAATGAAGAGACACGTTGGCTTGAGTTTGCAGGTTGACACGTCAAAACAAATTCAAAAGTAATTTGCAGGTTCAAAGCAATTTATATTTGTATACAAATTTATTTGCATTCACATACAATCTTTGATAAAGAGATTACGTTGTTGCATGATGATGTACGAATGCAAGAAAAAGAAAAGGTTTTCTTATAACCAATGGTGAATTTCGATCAAAAAATCGAAAAGGTATGTGTATTTATATATTGAGACTATACAATTGTTTCGGATTTTATTAAATTCCCACCATTCAACATAAGTTAGTTTTGTTTCAAGATTTAATTTATTAAATTCTCGTCGTTCAACAGAAATTGATTCTGTTTTGGATTTTAATCCCGTTGTCCAACAGAAGTTGGTTTTGTTTCAGATTTTAGTTTTAAATCCTGATGTTTAACAAATTCAACAAAATAGTGTTTATTGTGAATTTTTGTTTCGGGTTTTAGTTTTACTAAATTTCCGCTGTTTAACAGAAATTACTCAATTGTTGGATTTTAGTTTTGACTAAAATTCGTTGCGATAAATAAGGTACCGAACGAAATTATGATATGTATGTGAACAAAAATCGGGTCTATAATTCTGTTTCAGGACTTTAATCCTGTTGTTCAACAAAATTTATTTGATTTACTGTTGATAACAAAAATCGTTTGGAGGTAACAACATTGTTACAAATTTTGTTTTAAAATTTTAATTTCTAATTAAATTTTATTGTTTAACAGAAACAAATGGTAAAATAAATTGAATTAACTTTCAATTTATTGTTGGAATATTTACAAATTCTAGTTATGTGTTTTAAACGAAACAATGGTAAACCCACTGATTCACCTAACTCATGATTTGGAATGTTGATTCCTATTCAGACTTTGAATAAATTTCAACGATGTCAATGATTGTGAGCCACAATGAGAAGCATGTGAAATTCATTGATAGAATTTCAAAACATTACGACATAAGTTGTTATATTTAATCATGCTGAATATGGTCAAATATAGGATATTCCTCCTATTCTTAGAGAGGATGAGATAGACATTGTTGTCATTAAAGCTTGAAAATATTCTAAGTTTCTATGCCGGAATTACATCTTGAATGGATTGTCAGATATAATATATGAAGTGTATAGTATCCATAAGATTGCCAAAGAATTATGAATGACATTTGGTCATGTTCTGAGTTGTCATAAAACATGTAGATGAAGCTATTTTATTAGCAAATTACCTTTAAATAAGGTAACTTACAAGAAAATAGGTGAGACACCATATGAGTTATAGAAAAGTATTCCTATAACTACATCAAAATGTAGGGGTGTCTTGTATAAGTATAATGGTAAGTCGAGACACATACGTCGTCGACATAATATCATTAAAAAATTAATCTCAACTAGAGTGTTGAACTATGTTTTGATATAACAATTTAAGGCAAAATGGTTTTTGGACTTGAATTGAATTTACAAAATGTTTTTGGACTTAATTCAATTTATTCAAAGTTTTAAAAGGTTTCAAAAATAATTCAAAGTCCATTAAATTCGGATTTGAGCCAAAATGCTAAAGGGTGTCAAAGTGCATCCATACACCCCTGTAGTGCATCCATGCACATGCACTAGTGCATCAATGCACCATGCAGTGCATCCATGCACTCAAACACCGAATGCAATTAGTGCATCGATGCATCAAGGTTGTGCATCGATGCATCCTGTTGTGCATCGATGCATCCTGTTGTGCATCCATGCACGAAGGCTACAACATCTAGTTTATTTGAATTTAATGAATGAGTATCGATGCACCATGATAGTGCACTGATGCACCATGTTATAGGCAGGCTTTTGAGTAGAAAAATCATCCCTAAACGGCTCCAAAACATCCCTAACTGTTATATACGACATCAAACACATTCCAAGCTATAAAATACAAGCTAAGGACACTTGAAGAAGTGAGAGAACAACTATCCAAGCAATCAAACACAAGAAAAGAGTTTTTCATTCTTATTTCATCTTTCTCTTGTAAATATTTTGTTCTTGTGAGCTCAATCTTGTAAACACCTACCTTTGAGAGGTTTATTTGTTTACTTCTTTTATCCTTTTGTAAAGGGGAAATATTCTAGCTAATCATGTGTAAAAGCTAGGGAAAGGTTCTAGTTTAGCCCGAAAAAACTAGGGAGTTTGTAAGGTTACTCTTTGTCCTCAAAAGAAAGAACAAATTAGTGAATTTGTTGGAAAATCCTTGGTGAGGAGCTAAGGTAGGTGGACGTAGACTTTGTTTGAGAAAGTCGAACCACTATAAATCGTTGTGTAATTCTCTATCTTTCAATCTCCTTACTCCCTAAACACAAAAACCGTTCCGACCTCTCTTTATAAACCGTTCTGGTTATCGATTCGAGCTTTCGAAAATCCCAACAATTGGCATCAAAGCCTAACTCGTTAAGAAGGTTTAACCACCTTGAGACGATCCTCGAAGAAGCTCTACCAATTTCCAAAGCAACCGACAAAGAAATTACTTTTTCCTTCGGTGCTTATTATCTTGAAGAATATCCCATTATGGATTCACAACCGGTCAACAAGCCACCCTTCTTCAATGGAGCAAATTATGCACATTGGAATAATAAGATGATGTACTTTATTCAATCCTACAATCTAGGAGCTTGGAACTCAATCATGGACG